GGCAGCAATTTTTGTCGCTTATGAATTCGTTTGCAATCGCAATGTGGGTGAAGGTCCCCTCTTAATCTGAAACATACACCAACCAACAAGACTCTGTATGCAGTACACGCTTTTCTGAAAGCCCGCGGTCACTTTGGCTGTCCACAAACGCCGCTTCCGTTCATTCGCATCGCACATCTGCGGCCCCTTCGCCTAAGCATGCTAAGAGTATTCTCCCAATTAACCAGGTTACAGACAAATGCGGCTGCCTTATCAAGAGTCTCGCGTCGCCAAGCAATGCATTTGCTGGCCGAAACCAAATAACACGCCCGCATTATCCCATTTTCTGAATGAATGAGTTTTGAACTATCAAGTTTTGAACCAAGAGGATCCGATTCAGCATTTGAAACTTCCAAATATTTGCACATGCCTACAAAGACAGTGCTGTACCGTGAAAGGCTGGGAGAGCATCAAACCTTACTGAAAGTGTTTAGGATTAGTCACAAGGCTGTGGTTGGAAAAAACAGTGAGATGATGTCATAAAGCATTTCTCCTAACAATTAATGCGCGTCTACAAGTGCATCACAACTGGGCACAGGTGAGTGCGCCTGTTTTAATTATTTTCCTTCCTAATACAGCATGCACTCCTAAATTTTTATATACTCCGTGAAATGTACAGTTTCCAAGTTTCTGAAGAACTGGGCATGCCTGTGACATATATGCACCAAACATATTCAACATCAATCGTGAGCATGAAAGGGCCAATGGCAAAACTGAATGGCTCAAATTTTTATAAGTAACAACCATGTGAGGCCAGCAGACATTCAAGCCAAGAAACGTTCAGAAGAGTGAGTGATCTGGTGCTTTTGTTTCCATATTCATTATTTTCCTTATATTTAAATTACAACATAAATTTCCCTCATGTGTTTCGCAAAACATTAAGCAGAATGCCACTGACATTTGTGTCTTGCGTTAACCAGAACGTTGCAAGGATCCCCTAGATACCCTATTCAATTGACTGTGCGAGTCCTTTCGAGTAATACTGCGCACTCAGTACATCGCCACTCGCTAAGCCTACTGCCAAGGGCGTCTATTCCAACCGGGAAGCAGGGCAACCATTATGCCACCACCAAGAGGAATAAAAAAATGTTCTATTGTGCAGTCTCAGAACTTCAGTGCCAGCGATGTTGGAATTCCTCGTAAACATTGATCACTAGAAGAAACCCAGAACAGTGTCAGGGTTCATGCTCATTTACATGACAAAAATTCAAAGATTTTCAAGGCCTTTCAAGGCTATGTGTGCGAATATTCAAGGACCGCATTCTCTGTTAGAGACCGAATTAACACATGTGCAGGGGAAGATAAAAGCTTGAAATAAGCAGAATTCAGCGAAAAAAGGCAATGCCACAGGAGCGGACGTCAAAAACGTGGCCCTAATGGCATTTTCTTGCTAAACAGTTTTCAATCATAATTTATTAAACTTACATACATTATCACTTTCAGTATGACATAAGTTGCAAACTTTTCTCGAGATAGCAAAAATTAAAGAACAGTTATTACACAATGCTGTGTTGCTTTATCTGAACTTTCACATTAATATCCCCTGTCTCCTAGGGCTTGGTCTTGCCATTCTTTTTAAGGTTGTTTGACTTGATGATGCACGTCAACTCGTTAATTGTCTACCTTTTCTGTGTATGAGTCTGCTGTAGCTGTTCATTTCTCAACAGCAACTTCTAGTTTTGCTTTCCCTTTTTGTAAGCATTTCTACCTCCTCAGAATGCTACATTTATTTTTCTGTTTCTTATCCTTCTGCTGCTGCCTTCTCCGAGTTTCTAGAAATGCAACGTGTTGGGTCCATGCAGAAGCTACCGATGTTCTCGATTCTTTTGTGATGGGCACATTACATATGCCACCTGTAGGATTTATGGCATCGTAAATAATGTGCTCTGAAATGTGGGACAATGTTTATTAAGAAAAAAAAAGAAAATTAGGGTATTTGTGAAAATTCCAGCACGTTAAAGGCCTTGAAAACCAACTTTTCAAATTCAAGGGTTTTCAAGAATTTCAAGGAACTGCATGAACTCCGAGTGTTGATGATATCAAGGTTGTTTCCCATCGGCAAGAAGGACCATCGGTGTTCACACAGGCGGAAAGGAGGATGCCCTCTCCCTTACCCCCGAATGCAGAGATGTTACTTGACTCGTACTTGACTCGTTCTTGACTCAAGACAGTCTTGCCGGTCACCATAAATCGTTCTCGAACTTGCGAACGACTTGAAGGCGACTTGGCTCGGTCGAAGTCAGGACAAGTTTCAAGTCAGCTGCGGGGCTAGCTTGAAAGCGACTTCATGCGTTATTCCAACATGGTCACCTCTCGAATGGACGTCGCGCGGAGGGTGGCCGCTTTTGAGTTTGCTTGCCTCGCCATAAGCGTAGCATTTTCTGAGGCGCACTGCCTGCCGAAGATTCTTGGACCCGCTTTACGTGACCGAGGAAATCCGATGGCGTTGTATGACGAGGAACAATTCCACGCTCGATACAGATTCACAAAGAACGCCGTGCGGCAGCTACTGGGTATGTTGCCGCTCCGTGAAAGTGGGGACAACCGAGGACAGCCTGAGCCTCCAGTGTTACAACTACTGATGGCTCTCGGGTTTTACTGCGCTGGCACATTCCAAACAGTCACAGGGAATCTCATCCGCATTCCGTAGCTGACAGTTAGCCGTGCAGTAGGAAAAGTTACGCTACTCATCGCAAAGCACCTTTACGCAATGCTGGTGCGCTTTCCGCAGCCGGCAGCACTTTCTATTGTTATGCGGGACTTTTATGAAGTGGCTGAGTACCCTGGTGTTAGAGGCTGTGTCGACTACACACACGTGCATATTAACCACAACGGCCATTTCTGTTTTTCTTCAAAAACACAACGACAATTTCCGCCTCTTTCAGTACAAAACTGACTCAGTGCTGAGTCTGTGTGCCTCGTCTATCCTTTCGTCCCGTCTAGGGCGCTGTTTCTCGCTCAGAAAGGCATTGCTTGTAGCACAACACTACGTAAAATTCCACACACATAAAAAAGAGGTGCCCCTATCACAGGTCTTTTTTATCCACTTCACCATCATGCAGCGATACACTGCTGCACCCCGCGAGACAGAATTCTGCTGTGGGCAATGTCCTGACCCCCGCTTTTTCTCTTGTTTACCAAGCTCAACAAAAGAATACGAATCACATTTGTTCCCAGAACTTTTTTTTTTTTTTCATAACTGCGACCTAGCCCACTACAGGCATGCACACAGGCGAACAGAAAGGCAAATACCGTGAAAATCGCGTCACCTCGTGAGCCAGGTCAGCACAAATACATGCCGTGGCGTTCGTTTGAAAAAAAAAAATGACGAAAGAACCCAACGCGATGCTTGTTTCGCTTCCAAACAAGCAACCGTGGAGAAACGTGCCGCATTTGTGTGGCCACTAAAACCAGCGAGCAACGAACGCTTTACAGAAGCAACACTGCGCATCCCTGTGGCGGCAGGCACCACGTGCCACTCTTTAGCCGTAAAATGGCAAGAATATGCTTGTGGCCCTTTGTTTTTATAGTTAATTTATAACATATGTTTTTTTTTTTTTGCTGTAATGCATTGCTTAAGCGAACAACTTCATTATTACCCTCGTTAGCAGGTGAGCAGCGTGTTTCTGCTTTGAAGCTCGTTCTTGACTTGACCAAGCAATGAGCATCCATGAAACGCGAAGGCTAACTTGGGCGTTTTGAAGTCCGCTGCTTGCTTCACGCCGACTTGCACAAGTTAAGTTGATGTCGCGAGCCAAGTAACATCTCTGCATTCGGGGGTTCGTCACCTAAGAGAACGGACAGAAAGTCAGCCCCTCACATCGGCATAACATGAAGGAAGGGCGCTGTGATGAAGCTTTGCCCCGCTAAAATGCAATTCTGTGTGCACCCGCGAAAGAAGAACTGTCATTTGCAAAATGGGCCAATTGCAGCACCACAGACACCACCAGAATCGCAAGTAAGCTCACCAGAACGAAGTTTTTGATGATTTTCTGCACACTTATGACTCACAGAGAACATCAACATAACAAGCATCAATCATGATAACATCGGGTACAAAGTCCTCAATACAGTCAACCCTTTTAAACTGGGTAGAACCACCTGTGAACTGCAATGTTACCAGTTTATGTCAGTATGAATCAGCATATACATTGGTCGGCTCATTCATTCATTCCGCAGCCTATTCTGGCAGACAGGCCACGAATTGGACGGTGCATTGCTGAGGAGGCTAATTCACTAGCTAAAGGCAATAGTGGAAAAGTAATTGTTTAGCCATTACAAATTAATATAGCCTCGCAGCAGAAACGTCATTGCGACTACCGTTCCTGGAACCACCTTCCTTTCGACTCTGAAAAACTCATGGAGGGCTTTTGGGTGCCTGAATGATACGTTACTGTGGTGCACATTTGGAAACCATTACTTTGCTGTCATCTGCTTCAATGGCCCCCAGGTGCCAATAAATGATGAAGACACGGCTACGAAGCTCGTGTGTTATGCTTCCCCAAAGCAAACGAAGGAACTGGAGCATGAGCTATTCGAAAATGATATTGACATGGTTGAAAAGTATGAGGAGCTGCTCAGTAGCGGAAGATCGGATGATCAGGAAAAAAAAGCGGACAGGGCAAAGCTGCCTGTTAACACCAGAGGTCTCCTTGACTGAGAAGATCCCTTTTTTGGGGGGCAGGCAAGAATGAGTTGGTGACGATGATGACATGTTGCTTTTAACGATGCAAGAATACGAGTTTGTAGACTGCTTTTTCTGTCAAAAAAGCTTTTCGTTCATCCATTTATTCACTTGTGTTTTCATTAGTTTCAATGCCTGCTGGCTCCATAAGGTCATCATTAACATAAAACATAATGCATGATATAAGCATTCATTAACAGCACAACTTGTCTTTTTGTATGACAGGCTTACGTTTCGCATGTTGCTTCCCACAGTTGAAGCCACGAAAAAGCTCACATGTGCACAGAACACTTTTATTTGATTGACACACAAGTATCTTTGTTTATAAAGCAAAAAACAATGGAATCTAGCAAATTTCTTGTAATATTTGAAAAGTAATAGGTATATACATGCTGGCATATCTTTACAACTTGACAAAGTGATTAAAGTAAACAATGATTTTAAATACCTTCGGAAAAGTGCTCTTCTTTTTCTGTCCTCTGGTGTTGAGAAAATGCTCAGTGTATTATGGTCCACTGCAGTGGAATTATCAGCAATGAGAAAAAACAATGTGATCTGAAAATGTTGATTTCATTTGTTTGTCACAACCATTTGAAATGAGTACGAAGGATACAAAAAAAAAATAATAGTGCATAGCCATAAGCTAAAGCTAAGTATCAGCCAGTGATACCTTATTATGTCTGAAATGTTATGCCATGTTTTAGCCATATATATTGCACAGACATAGCATGAAAAGTGACTTGGCCACAATGCTCATCAGTTTTAGAGAGATCATACTCCGACAAGCAAAGAAAAAATGATCACAACGAATTTTACATTTTTTCAATTATGTCTATGCTCAGCAAAATCAAAATGCCACAACATTAATCAACAGTAAAAATCTGAACACCCCCAGACACCAAGTCTAACGATGAACAAGTCTTTCTTTGGCACGATTCGATCATACACACTCCATGCATAATGATACAATGACTACGCGAAACAATGCCACTACTTTGCAAATGCTTCCAGCCAGTATTCCTGACACGTTAGCTCATTCCACGAAACAAAGCATGACAAAATCTCAAGTGAAGATGTCCAATTTGAAATGGCTGAACAAAGCAAGACAAAGCCTTAAAATGAAGACATTATTGGGAAAGAAAAAAATATATATACACTATGCAGCTACCAGCTGGAAATAGCTCGCATCTAGAACCTTGCAGCGTTGGCTACCACAGGCTCACACTTCATGACTCTATTTGCTTGGAGTTGCACGGTGGACGACATTTCTATAACGCGCAAACAGAATGCACTACACACCGTGGAATAAATGTGGGTGCTGCACAATGACTTAAGTACAATAAATATAGAGGGACTGCGGAAAAACGCCACTGAACACTAGCTGCAGGCTTCTTCGCTCGAAACTGGCACTCAGGACATACTAAAGTTCTCACTTGCTTGCCACATAATGCGAGTCTTTTTTAACGCCCAATCTTCACGAACCACCAGAGCGACAACTCTCTTTGAAGATGTCCGACCAAAGCACACACATTGTTTCGTCCATTAAAGCACAGACTCACACTACAGGTTCTCAGTCGTGCCTTCCAAGAACGCCCGTGAATGGGTGATGACCACTTTCGAACAAGTCCTCGCTCGTGAGGTCGAACATAAAGCTTGTGTCATCCATCGTCGGTTTTCGCATTTTCCATTCGCACACGCGGCGGGGGCGAGGGTGGATAGGGTGGGGATTCCCCCGGGGGCAGGCGAAAGGAACCGGGCGCCATTGTAGTGGGGAGGGGGAAGAAATGGCGCCCGCCGACATTGATGAGGTAGCGTCAAGACGGGGATGTGGTAGACAGTGCCACCACCAAGTCGCCCGGTGACGACGAGGCGGCCGGTACCACTCCCCCGCTGCTCGCCGGCACAAAGCGGGGATGGTGGTGGTGGTGGTGGTGCAAGTGGTGGAGATGGCGCAGGGGCATCATGGCAGCAGCAGCCCTGGCTCCGTAGTCGTGCGTAGCTAAGGTAACGACCGGGTGCTGGGGACGATTGTGTGGGGTGCTGGAGAAACTCGGTGCCGACGGTCGCGTAACTTGTGGCTGTGATGGCTGAGGAGACGGCGAATGTGCCGGTGGTGACGATGGGCTCCGGTGTTGGTGGATGATGCAGGCCGTTGCTGTGGTGCTGGCGGTGCTGGCGGTGGTGACGGCGGCAGCAATCTTGATGGGCACGGGGCAATGTGTCGAACTGGAGCTGGCAGAGTTTCCGGGATTCGAATCATCATCGACGCCACCCGGAGAGCGGCGTTTGCTGGTGCGACGCTCCCGCTGGCGCTCGTTTTTCCACCAGTTCTTGAGGCAATTTACCGTGACCTTGGGTCTGCGTACGAAGATTTGGCTCACAAAAAAATATAAGTGCTCACGCAAGCAGTCAGTGCACTACCAGGAGCAGTTTTACATTCGGCATAGCTGCTGAAAATGAAATACTTGGCACACATTTATTGAACTTCTTGCCTAAGTGTTCCTGCATTTGACTGTAATAAAGAAATTCCCAGTACAAAGCACTCATTCTCGTTTAGTGGCACATTCACAAAATATGAATGAATTCATGTGTGGAAATTTTAGCTAGTACTTGTAAAGATTAGCACCCTTGGTGCAATCAATGAAAATGAAAAAGAAATGATTGTGTATCTGTGCAGCTACATTAGTATGAGTAGGTTTTGTGCAGTATTGCTCATTAGGCAGAAAAAGAACACCTAAACTGCACACCTAAACTAGACCATAATACTCAAACTATACCACAATGCTTATGGGTATACAGCATTATATAGATCAAAATAAGGCAGCCACAACAGCAATGCAAGGCACCAATGAAGAGAAGAAACGGCATAGGTGTGGCTAAGACCCAGGGACTGAGTGACTCAGTCATTTTAAAACAATGATTGGGCTATTGAACAGTGAAATTGTCTGCCAGAAGAATAGAACAACTTGGGCTAGTTGTCACATGTGACTAAACAGAGCACAGCATTGAAAAGGCAAGGGAAATTTTATTGTGCTGGGAACCTGATGAAATGATATTGCAAATGTTCGAAGCCACAAGTAAGCTTTGTACTTCGGCTTCTTGTTGTAAAAGCGCAGAGGTTATGTCTCTACAACAATAGTAGTAAGTGGTCATGACGCAGCTTGTTATTAATGCCGTGCATTACAATTCATCAGTGAACAAAGTTCTCAATGAATGTATGGTGAATAGAATAATTCCTCAGCCACGGGCATTACTTGGCACACTACTTGTATATTACAGGAGACAGCTGTAAGTGAACGCCCATGCTATCTATGTATTCCACGGTGTTGTCACGTAGTTGCCATTTTGGGGCCAAGTTTACTATTATTACAAAACATGTACACTCTTACCCAACAGCGAGTGCTGCTACATAAATGGCGGGACCAAGAGTTCGCGAGCAATCATCTTTCTGTTAAATAAAACTATAAAATGTTGCCAAATCTAAGCAGAACGCAACTCAAATGGTGCAGCTCACTTGTTTCGCAAGCGCAGAGATTCACTGTTGAGTTGATTGGCAAAGTCTTGCAGCTGAAGGTTGGTCGGGTGCGGACACTGGCGGAACCAATCCCGCATGCGCGGGAGCTCCGTGATCGAGTGGAACGTCATGCGGCCGTCTTGAGGAGGCCTGTCCTCGTCCAGAAACGCCATCGCCGATGCTGCACGACAGCAAATCAGCATGAAGCTTGTTAGTCACACAAGCATATGCCTATTATTAGCATGTTACCACACATGAAAAATATGACTAGAAAAAAATATTGCAGGAACGGTGACAGAAATTCAGCACAGCTTTTAGCAAGCAATAAACTTGTGAAGCAAAAAAGTTGCAATAGCTTTGGTGCCTCTCAAAATATATACATTCTATTTATTTTTTATGTACTTCGCAAGTAGAAGGTTTTCGTGCTCGCTAAAATGCATGTTTCCGTGCTCGCTAAAAACGACCAGAGCGTTTGTTACATCGCTATTGTACAGCTCCGCACTTTCATCGCATCACTAGCATTTTTATTTGAACTTTTTTAGATTTTTTTTTCGCAGTGACCCAAGTTAGTTGATTGCAAGCAGGCATGCACGCACGTGCGCTCACACACTCAATTCACACTTACATACTCTACGTACAGTCAACCAAAAAGTTTATGGACCCCGTGAACGCGTGACCTTTTCGCCAGCGATTTACAGCAACACTGCACCCAAGATGCATCCATCTCATAATCACCATTCTCTTTTTAACGCGATGTGCTCTTTGGCAACCATGGAACGTGCTTATGTCTCGCGAGCAGCCTATCAGAACAAGTACTCTCAATAGTTATGCCCAACGGCACACCGATCGAAACATGCCGCGATAGCTGTGATTCTGCTATCAAAGTAAAAGTGTGACGGTCACAGTGCACATAAGCGCTCTGTGTGAAAGCAACGAACTAACATTGTGCTACGCGGCAGTAGAAAATTGATATGCCTTTGAATAACCGCAAGACCTGTCTCCGACTCGGCGCTGCGGTCAATGATAGCTGATGCACCACAAGGCGGCACTCACCGACGTGGCGCGGACAGACAGCTTATCACGAGCTCGTGTGGTCTGTAAACTTCTGAGCTTGACAGTTCGTACCCCGGTATATCTTATACCATGGTGCATAATGTTATGACTGTCATCAGTAATGAAATTCTTTCGGCGGCTGTGAACCCGACGAAAAGCTTTAGATGCATTCTAAGCAAGGGTGTGCCTTCAGGACGGGCTGATTTCCTTTATGTAATGTGTGAACAAGGGTTTTCTGGGATCGGTTCGGCGCAAAGAAAACGCACCAGACAGGAAAGGCCGTTGCGACCTCTACTCCACATCAGGTATAAAGGAATTTTGAGCAAGTAATACCCCTGTCACACAGACTACCGCGAACACCGTTTAACTCTCTTGTCCTTACGACATGGGAGATGCGGTCCGTGTCACACAGCCTACTTTACACAAAAGAAGGTAAACGGAGCATTTCAGAAAAGACATTTGACGATCTTCCTTTGCAATGAAACGAGGTACTCTCGCTCCCAGTAACTCCAGGTCAGAAAAAAATTCCGAGCACTAAATTGTCGCAGTGACAGCAATAAATACATTTTGGCAATATTAAATGTTCTTTTGTTGCAATACACATTCATATCGCGTGTTTATTTACATATATCTACACCCGTCAGAGTTTAGCTGTATACTCTCTACACCGATGGCATCCACATCGCGCCTCGCGACCAAAGTCGGGCCGGGCACCGCCATTTAAAAATATATTGTCTGTGCGTGTGGTTGTTGTCGTCGCCGTGTTTGCATGTGCCCGTGACAGTTACTGACAGCACTGCATCATCATCAGCTGCTTCGACGGCTGCAGGAATGGGTAATGGGACCAGACCTAAGTCAAGGGTAACTTGGAGCACACTCACGAGAGAAGGAAACGCAAGGTCTTTCATACACAAACTACAAAAACAACCAGTCCTCGAGTATGGCACAATTGTGAACAAACATAGCGTTAGTCACAAGGTGGCCAGCGTTGCTACATTTAACGAATGGGTATTAATTTGAAATCATTTTTAATGCTTTGTTTGCTTCAGACATACTTAATATTGTGTTTTTGTAAGAACACCATAACAAAGAATCATAAAAAATCAACTAGAGATGATATTGGGATACTTCTGCAAAACTCAAACAGCTCCGGCTGAGTCCCCTCCCGGCAACTATTGCAACCTTGTCATTGCCGTGTGACACTGATGCAACTCCATCTTCATCGAACTACCTAGCGGAGCTTTACGCTGGAGGAGTTTAACAGAGTTCGGAAGTGGCCGTGTGACAGGGGTATAAAAAAGCGACAGGGCCATTTTAGAAGCGCCCGTGGATATAGAGAGACCTGAGCCAACGTGGAATTTGCTGTTTGGGGTGGCAGCCAAGACCAAACCGGTTGCACCTGAACCTTCCGAGGAGAGCGAAGTTCCAGAAATTTGCAGTTGCTGAAGAGTAACTTCTACCTAATGACGAAGGATTAGTTGACTACTCCTCGATTCCTCTCTCTACATAAGTAGCGGCTACATGGAGTGGCATGTTTGGCGATAAACCTGTCAGACTACCACATTGTTCTACCCAAATGCAGACAGGTTTGGCCCATGCACCGAGAGCCAGTCTTTTCAAACATCACCCTACTTGCCGGGAGAGTTCTTTGAAACCCAGATCAGCTAGGATCATCGGACGTGCCCAAAATCTTGGCAATGTGTGCAAAACGCTGGTGTTGTGCATTTCTGACAATATCTGGGCATTGTTTAAACTATCCCCTTTCCACATAGATTGTGTGGTGCCTTTCCCTACCTTCGTGGGTGGACCACTGAGACTATCAAGTGCCGTATTCGCTGAAACGGCAGACAATGCTCCCAGGGTTGGCAACATGGCGCTATATAAGCGGAAAACCTATTGTATATTTTCAGACAGTTCTGCGGTTCGCAGTTCTCCAACGAATTCTCGCACGTGCTGTCGACTTTTGAGTAACTAACAATGTAAATAGATCTTTCTCATTCTTACGAGTGCCTCATTTGACTTGTTTAACAATGGGTCCTAGGATGGTGGCCCGCTACCAGAATGGGACCTACAAGACCCGGATGCACAATACACACAAACTATCACAACCTAAATTTGAGGCCTTACTACGCTCAAACTAATATGTTCAAGTTCAGTTGTTTTCCCCCGTTCCATAGAAGAATGAATTCATTACCTGGTTCTGCCCGTTCATGACTATCGCGGCGTTTTGTAGCCGAAATCCACAACACATACATGTGAAATACGCTGATCTGTTTGCAAATGGTAGTTGGGTGTTTTTTTTTTATATGAAGCGTGGAAACTTGGGCAAGTTGGTAGGACATAACTGAATGTAGGAATAGCACAACCTAGAAGTAGTTCTTGGTAACTACGAAAGCGAAAAAAAAACAAGGATAGAAAGAAGTGCTGACTTTCAACAAAGATTTAATATCGAAGTGGTGTGCATATATAGGCGAAAAAAGGAGAAAATTGGGCATGCGTAGAAGGGTGCAGGAACAACCACTGCGATACAATGTCAGCAAAACTCTTGTATCTTGTTGAATGAGCTGAAAACAAATACACATGTAGCATAAAAAAAGATCGAGATACGCAATCTCTTTTTGCAACAACGCAACCGATGGGCAACTTACACATTACCGTCAAACTTGTTTACTTGATGAGCTTCAATTATCTCACGCATGACCTGAGAGTTGTGCTTGCTTAATACCTCGCAACGCTAAAAAACTGGCATGCAGCCACAGTCCCGGCAGTGGATTCCGAGGTGTCCTTGAACTACATTGTGCACATTATTATTGTACTCTCTTAAACGGTCAATGAGGCACCTTCCGGTTTGCCCTATGTATACCATTCCGCACGATAGCGGAATAAAATATACGACACCAATAACACAAGGTACAAAGCGCCTTCTGTGTTTCACAGTGCATTTTCCTTTAATAGCAGCTGGATTATTCACCAGCTTACAAAGTTTTTTTACCGATTTTTTTAAGCCGATGCAACATGTTATGCAGATAAGGAACTGCAACACATTTCATGGGAACTGACGCATTTTGAGGCTGAGATCGCCCTCCTTGATTTTTAATTTGCTTCAAAAGTTTTTCCGCAACAGCAGAAATCAGGGCGCTCGAGTAACCAGCGCTTAACACCTGTGCTTAATACCTGTGCTTTGAAACTGCATTGCATCGAGTGTGGGCATGACCTCTTAAGAGCGTTTACCAGGCAAACATTAAGGATACGCCTTTTCACCGATTTTGAATGAGCCGAGTGGAAAGATAAAAGGGGTTTACCACTTCTCGGTGAAAACAGCCAGCACAAATGATTGCTTCTAAGACAGAGTGTTAGGTCTAGGAACCTAATCGAATTTCCAGACGGTAGCTTATGAGTAAGTTCAAGAGGGTACAAGTGCTTCTTAAACAAATCTAGAAGACTAAGGAAAACAACTTCAAAAACAGTATCCAAACAATTAACAAATACAATGAAATCATCAACAAACTTGCAGACCTTCACAACAAGAGACAAGTCGAGATCTTTTTTAATGCGGCGATCCTTATGCGCGAGGAAGATGTCACTCAAAACTAGTGCCAAACAAGAACCTATGCAAACGCCACTTTTTTGAATGAAATGTTGCTCATTCCAAGACGCAACCGTTGACTTTAAATAAAATGAAAGCAATTCCAGAAAACCACGAACTTACATACCTGACGCATTATAGAATTTATCGACCCAAACCAATCAATGCATTCTTCGAGGCACTGGAGCAGTGCATTATGTAGAAGTGATTAATGCAAATCTTTCACGTCTATCGAGAAAGCCTTCAGCGCTTTGTCATTAGACCTTAAAAACTTGATAACCACCTCAGAGTCTTTTACCAGGAAAGGATCGTCAATAGTTAAAAGGTTTAGCTGTTCTTGCAAAAACAAGGCGACCTGTTTTTGCCAGGTCCTGTTTTCAGAAACTATTACCCGCAGTGGGCAGTCAATCTGTGCATCTTAGTGGTAAAAAAGATGTAAAGACTTAGCTTCTTTGATTTGTCGATTGATCTCGCAACTTCATCCAAGTCGAGAGAGTTGCAAAGCCTTTTCGCTTCCAATTTAGCTTTTGCTATTGAAGAATCACTGGGTTTAAAAACAGAATTTATAGCGATGGTGGCTTTGTCCTTAAACAAAAGAGAAGGCAAAACAGCAAAGCCACCTTCTTTGTCCGATGGTAAACAGGCTGGTGTCACTATTGTATTTTCCGCCCCAGAAAAGCTTTCAAAGCTCTGTAAGCTGGTGAATAATCCAGCTGCTATTCGAGGAAGATGCACTGTGAAACACAGAACGCGCTTTGTACCTTGTGTTATTGGTGTCGTATATCTTATTCCGGAATGGTATACATAGGGCAAACCGGAAGGTGCCTCATTGACCGTTTAAGAGAGTACAATAATAATGTGCACAATGTAGTTCAAGGACACCTCGGAATCCACTGCCGGGACTGTGGCTGCATGCCAGTTTTTTAGCGTTGCGAGGTATTAAGCAAGCACAACTCTCAGGTCATGCGTGAGATAATTGAAGCTCATCAAGTAAACAAGTTTGACGGTAATGTGTAGTTGCCCATCGGTTGCGTTGTTGCAAAAGAGATTGCGTATCTCGATCTTTTTTTATGCTACATGTGTATTTGTTTTCAGCTCATTCAACAAGAGACAAGAGTTCTGCTGACATTGTATTGCAGTAGTTGTTCCTGCACCCTTCTACGCATACCCAATTTTCTCCTTTTTTGCCTATACGTACACCACTCCGATATTAAATCTTTGTTGAAAATCAGTGCTAGTTTCTGTCCTTGTTTTTTTTTTTTTCCGCTTCCATAATTACGAACTAACTACTTCTAGGTTGTGCTGTTCCTACATTGTTTTTTTTTATATTCTCGGATTTTGCCTTGATGCTCACACAAGGTTATCTTACCTGTTTGCGTTATTTTCATTGTTTTGAGTTACTAGATTGATGGTATACCTATGTATACCCATTCCTGCCATGGCGCAATTAGCGCTGCAGTACGTATGTAATAAAAGAAATAAATCAAATACTCGCACGCGAACTTAAACCATAAGGTAGCGCTTTAGAAGCGTGCTTCCCCACACAAAACTCTCAATGGGGGGAAGGCCAAGCGTTAGAAACTTTCGCGAAGAAGCACTGCTAGCAGGCTTGGCGTATACACGTTTCCTTGGAGTTTCACGAAGAGTCACAGTTTCGCCACCAAGGGCCATGCAATGAATGTGATAGGAATAACTTGGGATATACGCTGAGAACAGCCAACAGATCGAAGCGTGCAGCGCGCTGTTCACACACAAATGACGCACAAAAACAACACACACAGGACGAGAGCTAACTAACAACGTTTACAACTCGACGTTTAACGCCCTGTTTAAACAAAAACGCCGCACAAAACGTAATCACAGGTACAGATATGAGTGCGAACTAACGAGTGTCCCTGTTGTCGCTTCACTGTGTTTGAAAAGCGCATTCTAATCAGAAACGGGGCCTGCCCAGCGAGCAAAGTTGACCTTTGTGGCCCAGTCAACTAACGCAATCATTTCGGTGAAAGGCCAAGGCACACAATTCTCCCCAGCGAAGGATAAGCGCGAGCGCACAAGAACCTAACCCCCCGCCCCCATGCGTGGGGCAAAGTACGCGTGGGAGATAAGCGCATCGCGAAGAGCTGGGTGCCGAGAACGAGCGGCTTCTTTCTTTCTCGAGTTTTCCTATATATAGATACGTATACATATACGGTGCATGACGGCAGCGTTGGCAACGGTAAAAAAACAGCCGAGACTATCCATATAATTGCTACAGCAATCGCAATAATATGCAGCCGACGAATGCAACATTGGCGAATGCTCGGGCACCAATGCTTCGACCAGGTGACACAATCCCAAGACAGCACTTAGCAAGCAACCAACGTGTATCATCAAAAGGATGAAAAACTCTTATGGGACTGTAATGATAAAGTTCTCTGCTGTAACTCGCCAGCAAGGCGTTAGGCACGAGTGTTAGGCACATTTCAGTGTGTGCTAAAAACGCCGACCTGCGCTTGTCACATTGCCATCCTGCAAGGCTGTACTTTCATAACGCTACTAACATGCTGCATGTGGCAGCTACTAGCGCTTTTTTGCCCGCGCTCGACATACCAGAGACTCCACGCGCGCGTACACAAGCGCTAACCCACACTTTCAATGCGGGTTGTGCCGTTGTGCCTTAGAAGCGTTCTTTGCCGCATACAGACTGTAAATGTAAGAAAGCCAACAGTGGAACGATCCTCGCCAGATAGCAAGTTCGAGGCGCACGTGCACGTCATGGAAGACTTATGAATTTTGCAATATTTAGCCGAGGTATGCACCATTCATAAACGTCCAGGCTCAATAGCACGACAGTTGGGCGAGTAGGTGTTGGTTCAGACTTATGAACGGCACAAAAACAACGGGACACAGATGGAGAACACACAGACACGGGCGCCGGACTCGCAACTAATTTTTTATTCAGGTCGACTCACACATATATGCAGGCACAAGGTTCATATATCGTCACAAGTCGGGAAATAATAGAGGCTTTGCACATTTTTAACACTAACTCATGTATCAGCGTTTCATCTATCGCCCTTCAACAAAAAGATATATTATTTGAATAGTAATTTATGACAAACCTTTCGTGCTGTTTCACATGTGTTTTGAACCACGTGCCTCTATATATGTGCGAGTCGACGTGAATAAAAAATTAGTTGCGAGTACGGCTCCCGCGCCTGTGTGTTCGCCTATGTTCCGTGTGTTTTTTCCACTGTTCATAACTATAAACGTCCAGGGTGAATTATTTGGCTTCGTCAAACTCCTACAACAGCTAACAACCGTGCTGTGATACCACAGATGCAACAATGTAATTGACACCTTCAGCCGTAGAGCTGCGACACTACAGGTGCGAAAATGCATTCGCGGAGCGAGCAACCGTACACGAAACCTTGGCACGAAACGGACGCCAGCGGCAGTGTCTTACCGTCGCAGGCGGCCATTGAACGTCGAGAAGAGGCATCACCCACTCACCTGGCGACGACTGTCTGTACTGCATGAACCAAGTGCCGAATTCCTTGCACTTCTCGGCACCCAGCTTTCCCGTGAACTTGTTGTTCACGATTGTAGAGAGCAGGGACTGCAAATATTGAGATAAAAAAAAGAGAAGAAAATCTCATCGAGCTGCACATAGCACTTCACGTTTTCATGTAGCAAGATCTGATAACTTGGGTGAATCCTTAATCGAACAAAACAAATACATCGGAGTGACCTAGCTGGTCGGATGGAGTTGCTCAAGAATGCGTAAGCACTGCGTCACTTGCTCAATCCTGTAGTCTTAGCCACCATGCCTGTGAGGCTCGGTACTCGAGTACCAGTACAAATACAACCGAGCTCCCGAGTTCGATACGCAACGCTCTTCAACGCCTCGCGGTTTCGTCGAGGTTTCAGAACCCTGTTTTCTGTTCGAGCGTGCAATTCTTCCGTAATAAATGCGCTATTATTGAATATCCCTAGAAGTGTAGACATTTTATTACGATGAAGGCAGCGCAGCACTAATGCGCTCACAGGGCGTAACCATGGGCGTCCGGAAGGGATAGTGGGCAAAGGGGAAAAGGGGGTACTTTAGATATTACTTACACTCTGGCAGTAAGCTGCACAGTTTGATTAGCATACCCAGGTCCCGCATATCCGGGCGAAACACAATTTAGGGTTGCCGACCAACTTTGCACGTAACACACTTTGTAACACACTTGTCTTGCCGGCCATGTCAGGGCAGTAAAAAAAAAAGGCCGTCTATGCTGGAAGCGGCCCCTCCCCCATCATGCAAAAGGTTGGACTCAAGTGTAGCAGCCAGGCACTCTATCTGCGCAATGCAAAAGGGCAGCGCGTGTCGACGGTCCTACCTGCTTGAGAGGGCAAATCTTGGCGAGCTTGGACTGCGACATCTCTCTGAGCAGCTGGATGACGGCCGTCTTGACGCTGTCCATGGTCCACAATTCGGGGTTTGAGGGAATGCTGCGAGTGCGTGGATGAGCGTGTGGTCAAGATCGAGCGAAAGTGCACGCCGTTACGTTTCGAGATGTGCACTGATGACGAAAACACCAACGACTTTTTGGCAGGCCCGATGAAATGTGCTGTTTTATTTATTATTGTTATTACTTTTATTACTATCGGAAAGCAGAAACACACGCAGACTTTTTTTTTTATCAGAAAATGTAAGTTTTTATCAGATAATGTAAGCCTAAAAGGCACCGACGGAGGTAGTTTAGAGATACGATACGGTAGACTGTATTAAATGTACATTGTTTTCCATTCAGTATGAATCTAGTGAGTGGTTGCCTAACCGCATTTAAATGCGTTTCACAGTGACATGATTTCGATGCCGCGTCGACACAGGAGTACATGCAGGGTGTCCTATCAATTACAGAGGGTAAAGCTGCATAAAAAAAAGTGCATCAAAATACAGAGATGATACCAAGGGCATTTCGTTAGTGGTAGCCTTGCGCATACTAATGTTTTAATTTCGTTACCACTTAATTAATTAGTGGAGATACATTTTCGAAATAATTACCTGCATAACTGCGCTGATTCCGAATGCATCGCATTCGAAAATATCGCACTGAAAAATGTCCGACCTGCTCCGTCATCGTAAATATATTTTTTGCAGCGGTCAAATTTTAGGCGTTAAAGGGTGAAGACAGACCCCGAGTGAGCGCAGGCGTTTTCAAGGATGTGAGCTTAAAAAAAAAGAAGCTGCTGTGGAGTGGATTATACTAAAATAAGTAAAGCCGTGCCTCCGACATACACATGTGTGGCGAAGAAGCACCATTTTCCTTAAACGCCCTGCAAATTTGATGCGGGTGGTTGCTTCGGAAAGATACTGCTCAGGCCCTATCACTGGTTTCCTCCAAAGCTTCAATGCTTCTGAACATTTTATTGGAGAACACTTGACCAATAGCCATGCCAATACATTGCTTTCTTCTGAAACCACGCTCTGCTTTGCTTCTTTGGTAACCAACCTGACGTTCCCGTAAATAGAGCAAAACAACTTATTCTATCAGCGTGCACAAACCGACAACCCCGCGTTGCCAAGATAAAGGAGGAGCAAGGCCTGGGTTCACCCGTGCCGGGAGAGCGTCGCCAGAGCTACCACTCAATTCCTTTTTCAAGTTGCGTCCACGCTCCAGCACACTGGACAGTTCACCTAGCAGGACTATGTAAACGGTCAGTTTTTTTTTTCCACCTCCTCCCAGAGGTAGCCTTGTTCGTTGGGTGCTTAATCGACTCGCAACAGTGACAAGGCCATGGTTCCCCGCCCCCCTTTTTTTTTTTCAACATAATTAGAACACATGGCAAGTTGGTATTACTGCATACCCTGGTGGAGATTGTTCTACATCTGGGTCTTTTCCGTATATTTAAGGTATGCAACTGTACTAACTAGCCCAGTTTCTCACCTTATCTGGAGAATGGCACCTTTGTAGCTCGGCGCCTCCACCTCTCATGCCATGAATTTATTCGCCCTGTACGGAGGATGGCACCTTCGTAGCTTTGCACCTTGCACCACGATTTTTAAACACATTAACAATTATGTAGACGCGAGAGGTTGGTTGGCCGCTCGCCGCTAATGCCTTGCCGCTTTTGTCATTTCCTAACCATTCATCTCGGGCAAATGAAGTATCATGACGCCCGTAAAAAATCCAGACAACACAAAAGTTCACAGAAAGATGGTGACTTGAGCAGTGATAAATCGTTGAACGGAGAAATGTCGCTGCACGAAACGTCTCGACAGGATGCCTCTCTACCAGGGCAGAAACGTCAGATATTTTGTTAACAGAATGCTCATTCTCTGAGAAATACCCAAGATTGTTTAGTAGTGTGGTCCATATGTATGCTTTGTTCTTATCTTTTATTGTAATGTGATCTCGTTAACTTTTCTTTATCGATACAACGAGACTGTCTATTCTCGTGTTATGGCTTGTTCCAATACTTTGCATTATAGTACACGCACTTCCCACTTTTTCAATTCAATTAGTTTTGTTCGAGTCTCTCATTTATCATTTTACCCTGAAGCACTTCGTTTTTTTTTATAACGAGTTTTTTTTTTCTTGTGCGTGCAAGATTGTGCCTTTCAAACAAACTGTTCTATTGTTCCCACATGCTGTAATCTCTTTGAAATTGGAGTATCCATAATAAATAAATAATAAAAACACTGTGCCCAGCGACATTGCTGTACAGACAGTTATCGGGAAGTGGCACATAGGCGTACGTAAGTGGAAGAAGCAAGACACAGGAATAGAAAAGAGGTGTTTATTAAAAATCTGAGAGTTTTACCAGCGTGCATGAGTGACCTGCGAGGAGCAAGGGTAGAGGAGACCGAAGCTAAATAAATAACATGACAAAGACCGTAGTTGCTGAATTCCGCTTCGCTTTGGCGTTTCCTCACAGGCAAGAGGGCTTCTTCGCTCTCGACTTGACGAGATGACGGGGATAACTTCTCTGCTCGAAATCCCAGGATGCACACCCAGCGATCGGGAACACAGATTAAACTTACAAGCGGTTATGACAAGGGTTATCGCATAACTTGTATTCAATCCCACATGGATTTCATTTTGATCATTCTATTTTGCTTTAGCACATCCTTTGATCTGAGGCGATGACAAGTAGTCATCTGGCATGCTTGATC